CAACTTTCAGAAACATGAGCAAGAAGCTTCCGTTATTTGAGCCGTCCAATTAGTGGTACTTCATTACCAAAATCCTAGGAAACAAATACCACTTGAAGGGCTGGGAAAGCTAAACCCCTACTGCTTACTCTCCCAGTGCCTGTGTAGCCAGAGGTGACCTGGAACACAATTTTGCACAATGAAACATCAGTAGAATCTGCTGCTTCTCCAAGGGAAATGCTTGCTTCAGTAGGTGGCGGGATTAATGACAGAGCGGGAGAACGATGATGGTGCTCTGAGATCTAAAGGGGGATTGGGAGGTCATGGACCTTTCAGGTGTTTTAGAGCATCCAGTTAGGTCCCCACAGCTCCCACAGAGCCTCCAGAATAAGAAACTTTACAGGGAAGGAAGGAAAGCTTTAGTGCACCTAAAGCAGATGAAGAGGCTGTGCATCCAGACCACTGTGCGTAAGCTTATATGAATGTATCGTTAATTTAGGAAATGAGGCTGAGCACAGCGGCACCCATCTGTAATCTCAGCAACTTGGGAGGCAAAGGCAGGAGGATCACAAGTTCAAGCCCAGCCTGGGAAATTTAGCAAGATCCTGTCTCCAAATGAAATTAAAAGGACGAGGGTGTAGAGAGGTAGATTCTCAGAGGTATAGCATTTACCTAGCATGTGCAAGGCCCTGAGTCCAAACCCCAGTGCCAGAAGAGTGTGTGTGTGTGTGTGTGTGTGTGTGTGTGTGTAAAATTTAGGAAGTGACAAGAAGTTTATTGTGGTCATGTTCTCTTTACACATAATTCTTATTTAGATGATTGGTTAATTAAACACATCAAAGTAGGGGAAATTTTGCTTTGAAATTCTAAAGAAAACCTAAAATTGTTGTAACTTTCTGCCATTGTGCAAGAAGTCATTATTTTATATAAACATCTGTTACAGTAACCTCAAATTCCAAGGCTAAATAACATCTAAAAACTCATTTAAGATTGCTGGGACCATAATGTTAAGTGAAACAAATCAGGCACACAAGTTTAAATTTCACACTGTTAACTCCTGTGTGGAACCCCAGAATAAAAATAAAAAGCAAAAATAAAAGAGGTAATAGGACGCATTTTTCTCAAAAGGGAAAGAAATCAAGAGATAGAGGGAAGGGAGAGGGCGGGAAGAGATACAGAATGAAAAAAAGGAATCGGGATGTGTTATGCTTATGTGCCACACAAGGCATGTAAACAGCATGTACTGCAAACAGGTACAGAAAAAAAGGAAGGGAACAAGGAAGGGCAAGGGAAAGGAGGGAAGGGACTCAGGATGAAAAGAGGCATTGAGATGCGTTATGTGCATGCACCAACTTCCCACGAGGAATGGAAACCTTACGTACTACAGACCTGTACTAATAAACTAAACAAGAGATCGCTGGATATCCAGCTGTAGAACAGTCCTCTAAGGCAGTGGCTTTAAACTGGGGGTGACTTTGCCTCCTAGGGACGCTTAGTGATATCTGGAAACACCTACGGCTATCAAAACTCGGGGTTGGGGTGCTACAGATACCTAGTGAGTAGAGGCCAGGAACGCAGCTAAACACCCTACAATGCACAGGACAGCGTCACGCTAAAGACTTTGCCATCCAAAAACGTCAATAGTGCCCAGGCTGAAGAACCCTGCTCTCAGATATAGTAAGGCTTTTAAAAAGAAAATTAAATTTTGCCAGAAGCAGAAATGCAAGGAACAAGTGGAAATGACTTACTGGAGTCATCTACTGAAGTGTGGGCGGTGTCCTCAGTTCTACCGAGAATTGCAAACCTTGGAGAGGAACAGGGCTGACAAAGGGGTGGACAAGAAAAGCACCACTGAGCAGGCAGGCGTGGAGGTGAGGGGGAGAAGCTGCCCACCCGGCCCGTGTGCTACTGGGCCACCGAGCCAGGATTGCTCAACTGTGGGCTGGATGTGCAGTCGGGGCAGCTGGCAGGGGACACAGCCTCCTTATCAAACAGGTTCAATTCCTGAAGCTCCCATTCTTCCAAAACATTTCTAAGACAATATACGAAATCCATTTTCTCCTGATTTCACTTGAAGATGAGTCACACAAGACACCAGCTATATGCTTGATTTCAGGCTTTTAAATAAGAAGAGCAGCTATTGAGAAAAATTACAGGGTAGGAAAGGCAGACAAAAGCACTGAAAAGATTCTGAATCGTTCTAATTTTTATGGGGAGTGGGGGAAGGCATAGTCAGCTTAACCAATTTGCACAATTTTCCTTTCAGAAATAAACATACTCATCATGCTGACAAATGGAGGCCATGCCTCACATGCTGGAATTAAAATTGTTTTAGGAAAAAAAACTTGGAAAAACAGAAGGGAAAGCAATAAAATGAATGGCATAAAAATAAAGAAACTCATTAGCAACTGAAGTATATCTAAAGCCATTCAACATAAATAATTTAATCAAGTTTTTCCCCAATCCTGTAAACAATTTCCTTCCTCAATCAAGTACCTCTGTGTAGAAAAACTGAGTTGATCTGAGATCCAACATGTTACCTACAGGAGGGACACAGGCTATGGAGCACATTGTGTGTGAGCATTTTATATCCAAAGAAAACCCTGCGCTTGGCCAAGGAGCTCGAGATTGCTGCTTCTGAAGCATCTGTGAGTTTTTGGAAAGTTTTTTAAAGGAATTTAAGAGCCAAGCATGAAGGCACATGCTGTGATCCCAGCATTCAAGAGGCTGAGGCAGGAAGATTGCTGCGAGTTCAAGGACAGCCCGGACTACAGAGCAAGACCCTGGCTCAGAAAGGGGTGGGGGTGGGGCTAAATATTTTAACTAAAGAAAATTTACAAGTGTAATCCTGAACTTTGTCTTTTCATATAAAATGCTATTATTTATGTTTACAGCATACAAAGTGAAGTTATAAGATTCATATATAGGAAAACATTTACCATATTAGAACAGATTCACATATCCATCACCTCCCGTAATTCCTCATTTCCTCCACACTGATGGATCTAGAGGACGGTATGCTAAGTGAAATATACAGACACAGAAAGAAAAATATCACTTATCTGCAGAATCTTTTCTAAAAGTATGAGATGGTCAAGGATAAGGAAAAATAAAACAATGGTCTCAAAGGCAGAGTGTGGAGGAAGAGGAAGTGGAACGATGTCAAAAGATACAACCCTGCGGTCTGAATCAGTGATTACATTAAAAGACAGAAAACATGTTTTCTCCTTTTAAACTAGTGTGACAGGAACAGAAGAATTGGTCATAATGGAATTTGGATAGAATTTACTTTAAAATGTCGTTAATTAGGACTTCAGTTGCTTGAGTTTGATGATCATTTAAGTAGACTAGGCTGACATTGGTTCAAGTGATAACTTACAGACAATGTGAATTAGTAACTAGGTGTGGTGGTGCACACCTGTAATCCCAGCTTTGAGAAGGCTGAGGAAGGAAGATCACCAAAATCTCAAGACCAACCTGGGCTACCCAGCGAGTTCAAGCCCAGCCTGAAGTACTTAGCAAGACCCTGTCTGAAAAAAAAAAAAAAAGAAAAGGTGAGAATTGTTGAGTATGTTAATAGTATAAATGACAAATTTATGCACTATACAGGTGCATTAAATCCTTTTTCTCCAGCTGTTAGATTCCCTAAAAGACTCTTGAGCAGGAATGCTTTATGCAAAGAGGAGGAAGAAGGAGGAGGAAAGAGAGGACAAGTTATAGCAGCAATAATAGAAAATATATTATTGTGATTTGCCAGACAGTGTGCTAAGCACTTAATGACAATTTTTTTCTGTTTAATACTTATTATGAACAAAAACTTCACGAGGCAGATGGTACGAGAGGTCTAGAAACCCTTATCCGTAGTTCCAAATCCAGCTATTTGTGTAACTCGTTAATTGACAAAGCCTGTCCTGGCCTGGCCTGACCCAGCTGAGCAGCAAACCCTGACCCAAAGCGACACAAAGCTACTAGTAGTTTCCACTCCTCTGTCGCGCCGGTGCCCAGGGCTTGCTGCAGCCTTATGACCACACTTGTGTTGGAGTACAGTCCAGACTCCCTTGCAGAGGAATGGTTACAGTTTCTTCCGTACTCTGTCTTTCTGCCTTACCTTTCGAAACCCTGAAAAAATTCTGAATTCCCTAGGGTCTCCCATAAGAGCCTGTGAATCTTGTGCCAGCCCTTAATGAGATGAAGAAACAAAACCTCCGCAGCCAGGCTCTGGGGAAGCTGCCCGTCCTCGCACTGCCATGTGCAAGTGTGCGGTGGAGACAGGATTCAGTACTGGGTAGTTCCTATTTGAGTACAGTCTAGCCAAAGGCTGCTTCCTAAGGACTGCACACAGTAAAAGTGGTACGCTTGCAAAAGGCATGAGAAAATGAAGCTTTAAGACACTCCCTTCTCTCCTCAGTCTATGTGAATGGACAGATTTAAAGAGGCCGGCACCAGGAAGTCAACTTCTCCAAACTTCCCTGTGCCACACGCCTAACCAGCACCCGCTCCTCTCAGACTCAATAAACAGAAAGAACGTACAGGTGCTGCCCCGAGGTGGGGTCCAGGAGAGATGAGTGAGCGGGAAACCCTGTACTGCTTCCTCGTATCCCGCCGCACTCTGTTCCTTATTATAAAAGACAGGTGCACACCTGGGCGTGGGAGGATGGTGATCTGCGGCAAAGGATGCCGTTCCATCTCCTCAGAGCCTCTTTGATTAAAGCCTTTTTCCTCTTCACCAAAATAAATGGCCTCCTTTGGTTTGGTCTGCAGCAAACAGATGGACCTAAGTATGCGAACCTGAGTTGCCAGCAACACAGCCACATTTAAATTAGACAAGATTTTAACTAATTTAGAGAAATCACTTGTTGACCTGTGCTAAACGAATGTGTCCACTTTTTTTTTTTTTTTTTTTTTTTTTGTACCAGGGATCAGCTTGGGTCCTTGCGCTTGCTTGCGAGGTAGGCGGCAGAACCACTGAGCTAAATCCCGGGTCCAGTGAGAAAGCTTGTAAGCAGCCGTCACCTACTCACCCTCGTCCTGCCCTCTTCCTGGCTTCCCATTTCTTGAATCTTCTCCAAAATGGCATCCTCCGTGGGCCCGGTCATCCCCAGCCTGCTTCTAAGGAGGGCTGCGATTTTCTCCCTAAATAAGGAGTTCTGGCTTTGCGAGGCTGTAGCTGTATCCCTACTGGCCTTCAAATTCTTCTCCAACTCTTCAGAGCTTTTCTTCAGAAGGCTCAGCTCCTGCTTTGAGGCATCCCAGGCCCTCTGGCCAGCAAGCAACCTTTCTTGGAAGATCTTAATTTCCCTTTCCAAAGCTTCTTTTGCCTCTACAGCACAGAGCAAATCCTGAAATAATTACAGAGGGTAAAGACAGTAACATCAGCCACTAACCAGGTATATATACCGACACATAACAAATCATTTACCTGGTTACTGATGACTTCAAGGAAATAAGGTTAAATGCTCAACCCATTCTTAACTCTAAGTTCCCTGTAGTTATGAAATTGTTAAGGTTAGCCAGCAAAAATTATTTTAATAAAGATGCCTTTTAAACTCAGTTTATAAAAAGATGTGCATTCTCATAAAAATGTCATTCCATGACCAGATCTGTCTTACAGTGCTCACTGACTGTTATTCTCTTGACTCATAAACACAAAACTACAACTGATAGAACCAAAAGAAAAAAAGAAATAATTAGCCATTTGGTGATGGCAAAGTTATAGTAAAAGTTAAGGTACCATACTAAAAACAATAAATAATCTTAAAGAACATAATATAATATGTATGATTAGATTCAGAAAAATGTACGGCACAGAGAAAGTTACCTATGTACCTATTTCTATTTACCATAATCTGGAATGGTCCACAGTGGCACTAAATTTTTAATCACTTTCAGCACTCGTTAACATCAAGTTCAAAAATACATGAATTTACATCAAACAAGAGCAAGCAGTTAATCAGCATTGCCATAGGATTGCTACCTGGTTAATTAGCAAAAATTTTTAAATTAAAAATAGTACTGTAGCTCAGTGGTTCCAGTGCCTGCCTCATAGGCACAAGGGCCCAAGTTCAATCCCCAGTACCAAAACAAAAAACAAAAAAAAATAGTACTATACATACGTTAGGTGTAAAAAGTGCAAAAGGGAAACAGTATCTTTGAGCCACAGGTTCTACATCTAAATGGGCTGATAACATTTGAGACTGCTAATTAAAATACAATCATCCCTTTGCCTCTGAACTGGACTTTAAAAGGAATTTATTTCCACCAACAGCCTGGAGACAGTAAAAAGGTTAGCTGAAATGCTAGTCCTTACTCTTTAGGGAAAACATAACATTTTACTTTTTCTTATGGAGACTTTTTAAAAGGAAATCTCAAGTATCAATTTGAAAGAAAAGTCACAGGAGTACAGGTAGTTAGAAAAACATGCCCTTTTCATAGATGTAATAACTAACCGTTGAACTGATTTTATAAAACTCCTTGCTTTTCTAGATCTTGGTTTCCCTTTCCTCTTTCCAAATTAGGGTCTCTGTAGAAAAACCTCACTGCTGCTGCTAATTAGTTTATAGCCCTTAAAGTAGAATCAAGGACGCTTTATCAAAAATACAGAGTTTATAGTTTACAGGTTTCTCTTCAGACACAGTCGTAACAGAAGAGTACTTACTTGCTCAGTTAGAGTAACCAGCATTCACTCTGGTGATCACCATTTTACTTAGCAATTACATCTGTGAGGCCCCAGATTCAATGATATACAGGTAAAAATTAATCCTAATATGGGATGCGATGTAGCTCAGCATGTAGCAAGTGCAAGGCTCTGAGTTTGATTCTGGGTACCAAAAAAAATTGATCCTAATCTGTTTTCAGTGATAACACACTTTGAAAGAAGAGAGGAATTTCCTACATATTTTCCTTCTCTAATTTTTAGATAAGATTAATATTTCATGGCCAGGTATGGTGGCACACGCCTGTAATCCCAGCCCTGAAGAGGCTGAGGCAGGAGGAGGCCTGCCTGGGCTACATAGTGAGTTGAAAGCCAGCCTGAACTACACAGCAAGACCCTGCCTCAAAAAACAAAATTAATCTTAATCATTTCAGAGCTCTAAACCCATACAGAATATTACATATTAACTTTTTGTTGAAAAAAATCCCTAATGCAAAAGGAGAAAGTTTCCACATTCAATAGACTGATATCTGTAACCAAATATTTATAAAAAGCCCTTAAAAGACTCAAAAAATATATCAGATATTTGAGTACAATGAACTTATTGTCAATTTGAAAATTAACCAAGTGGTAGCTAACACCAAAAGACCAATAAACACAATTAATGTTTCATTCAGCTCTGAAGAATTTTTCTACCCCTGTATTATGCTGTTTTTTCACCAACTGAAAAATGAGGACTACAACAATCCTCCAACAAATCCGAAGCACTTTTTTAAAACCCAATCACCCATATTTATGGTTAATTAAAAAAAACACACACACAAAAGTAATTTGTGATCTTAGAAGAGAAAGGCGCTGGTTAGCAGTTCCGATTGCTTCTTTCTGGGCACTTTCAGCCCACAACTCAAAGCTGTTTCTCTGTGAAATGCAGGACCAGGAGTCAGTGACAGACCTTGGGGATTGCCACTCCCCTGGAGCTCTGATTAATCACTTTGGGATGGGGCGGGTGGCGCAGAGGGCACAGGGCTGATCCACTGGAAATAGGTGTCCTCAGACTGCAAATGCAATTACGTGCATGGCTCTCCGGAGAAAGCCACCCGACCAGAGTCTGGTTGCATGGCTACCTCAAGGATAGGCTGAACAGGGCATAAAGTAATGTGACATGGGCGGCTCTGGCCAGGACCTGGGACTACTGTCAGACCACACTGACACAGAACAAGAAACAAGGAGCTGCCTCCGAGAAAATTCAGGGCTGCCCTCCAGGGAGGAAATCGCTTCTAGGACAGAGGGCAGGTCCTACATACACGGTGATGCTGATTGCTTTAGAAATTCTTTTTATAATTAACAGATCTTGAGGTTCGTTCTGACTAATACAGCAAACAAAGAATGGCTCCTTCACCACGACTTTTAACAAAAAATATTTGTAAATAATAGGATTAAGACATTCAATCTAGCTTCCCAATTAAATGTGTGAGTTAGAATTAAGCGATGAAAATGTTCAAAGTGTGGTGTTTCTAAAACACAGTCGATTCCTGTTAGGATGTGGCTGCTATTGTACGGATCTAGATGTGCCTGAAATCAAATTGCCTCTCAAAAAATACAATAACTAATTATCGTCAGGATGGGAACCTCTCTGTCCAGTGGTTCATTCCTCCAATGCTAAATGAGTTTTAAAAAATAAAAAATCATGGGCTAGGGATTTAGCTCAGTGGTTCCACTGCCTGCCTCACAAGAGCAAGGACCCAAGTTCGATCCCTGGTACCAAAAAAATAAAAATAAAATAAATAAAATTAAAAATCAGTTGATTAATTCTACCTGGAGCAGTTACAATGAAAAAAATAAACCTAAAAAAATACTCCAAACAAACACTCCTATACCTAGCTTGCGCAAATAAGAACAAGTACAATGGTTGGCAGCAAGGCCAAACAAAATTTAATATCTTTTATCACTGAAATTCCAGTCCCAAGAATGTATCAGTAATAGTGACCCATGCCTGTAATCCCAGCATTCTGGAGACCGAGGCAGGAGGGTTGTCTGGAGTTCAAGGCCAGCCTGGACTACATAGCAGAACCTGTCTCAAAAACAAAACAAAAAACAAAAACACAAAAGAATGTATCTGTAAGGTAGCTTTTACTTAATATGAAAGATGACGTATATGCAAAATCGTTTGATTATGACTGCTGTGGGCCACTGAGCAATGGGGATGGCTCCTGAGAAATGCACTGTTAAACAGTATTGTCCCTGTGCAGATGTCAGTGTGCTTCACACAGGAAGGAAGCTCTGATGTCGCTCCCAGGGCAATATAATTTATAGGACCACAGTCATATACATCAACCATCATTCGGTACCTAGTATAGCACCATTTTCACCTAACTGAGAAGAATATATGCACAAGCAACTTCAATTCTGGTCACCTATAAAACAGGACAGTGTATGTGGGGGTGGGGGTTGAAAGGGGAGCACACCCTCATGCACACTAAACTTGCACTGCATTAGTAGAAGCACCGTAACTGGAATAAGGGAGATGATGTTCTGCTACACCCCTTGGAATAGACCAGACCTTGAGTTTGACACTGAGTTCTGGCATTCATACTTCAGTGTAGATAAAACTCTCCCATTATAATGCTTTTCAAAACTGGCTCTGGGCTGGGGATTTAGTTCAGTGGTTCCGCCACCTGCCTTGCAAGTGCAAGGTTCCAAGTTCAATCCCCGGTACCAGTACCATTGTGTGCTACCATTTTTTCCCAGTCCCAATGAGATAATTTTAGAAACCAAGGGCCTGAGGCATGTCCTTGATTTCCAAACAAGGCAGGGCCCTGTCCATGCTCTGTCAGACTTGCACGGTAGGCAGCAGGTGCTACAGGTTGCATATGTGCTGTGTCCCACAGGAACAGATACAACATACATGCTATGTGTTATGTTAAGGTGAGTTTGCCAAAAATCATCCAAAACCAAAAGAGTATATGAAATCCAGAACATGTTTCTCTCATTAGAAGACAGTTTAATTTGAGCATACCTATATGGAATAAATCTGTAGAACTTTCTCCAGATGGAGGATTGAAGATAGATTTTTTTAAACATATTTGTTTCATTTTGGATATAAGTTACAAATAAATATCCTGAAATTGGTTTAAAAATCCTTTCTAGCCGGGCGTGGTGGCCCATGCCTGTAATCCCAGCACTCGGGAGACTGAGGCAGGAGGATAGCCGTGAGTTCAAGGCCAGCCTGGACTACATAGTGAGTTCCAGGTCAGACTCAACTACATAGTGAGACCCTGTCTCAAAAAAAAAAAAAAATCCTTTCTAGTCTCAACAAACCTCTGTGAGGCTGATTTTCTACTGTGTGTGTCTTAAAATAAAACATATCTCCTACACATAGGATTAGCATTTATCCAATAAGGATGACCTAAAGTAGAGAACCAAAAGTGAGTTCATTATCACAATTAAACTTAAATACTGGCATAAGTGCAGTTTGCTCAAAATTGGCATGTAAAACTTTAACACAGAGAATTATACTCATAAATTTTGTCCAGATATGTTTGCAAAGTTTTTGGAAGTCCAATAGTGATTCCCTATTTAATCTCCAATGCACATACTTTCAAAGGATAGGTACAGTTTATGTAATTCTATTTTTCCTATATTTATTCCATTATATTTAGTAAAATATGATGGTGTGTTGGTGTTTTC